CCACTAACATCAGATTTCTAGTTTATTTCCCTTCCTTTCCCAAGTGATTACTTTCCCAGGAAATTTCAGCCAGTCTAATCATATATATATTCTCTTCTATTGAAACTCTCCAACCTCAGAAGCACAGCCTTCCTCATGCTAAATCAGTCTACTCTATCACGCTGAACAAGTGAAGAGCCTCTGCAAGATTCCCACTTATTTCCTGGAACTACGCTACTGCAGCTATTACTCTTGCCCTGCCCTGCCAATGCCTAATGATTCCGTGGCCAATATTTCTTAGTGAAGCTTATACCTTCATCAACCCTTCTTCAATGACAATCAAGACAGGAATAGGAATGGTTTGAGGGGATTAATCAAAAACATATTCCCAAAGGACATTAGTAGCTCAGGCCCACTAAGAATTGTGGCAATCTAGTACATTTCATTTTCACCTTCCTTTCAAAGTCAATACAGTTACTTTGACCCCTTTCACCTTCATTACACCCCAGTCTTGCTTTACATCTGTCCAATAGGCCACTATAAATAGAATACATATCAAGATATTTTGAGCTAAATTTCTTTATGTGGTGTAGCAAAAATTATGTATACCGCACTTCTATAAAAGTCCTCATATTTCTAGTTTTCACATATAGTCTGCATATGAATTCACATACTTTTGTGAACTAATACATTCAATAAAAATACTTTTGCTGTTTTTCTAATCTTCAATAAAAATAGCAACTGAAGAAACCTCAGGTCCTTAACACTTTTTATTTTAAAGCGGAAAATGAACAATTATCTATACTCATGAACACCCACACACCTTCATATCTTTTGTACTCTGGTTTTCTTATTAAGATTAACATAGGAAATTATTCCAAGGCAACATTTCAAAGTTGAAGTGAAGAAGAAAAGGACCATGGTGGCAGTATAAACAACAACTAGTTGGGTTTACAAACATCTTACTACAAAGGAAGAGTTCATGCTTACAACACAAGCATGAAGGGAACTCAGGGAAATCAAAAGATATTCTCTCAAACTTTATTTTTATTTGGTTAATAAGACTCAGCATTCAGTCTCAGCAACAAACAATCTTAGGGATTTATGTGAAATAAATGCCATGAAGTTAAAAGCCCTGAAATATGATACAAAGGAGATAGAAAAGCTAGAAACATACACATTATGTATTAATTCAGACTTTAGCCTGCAGATATTTCTGATTCAAGGACACAGATACTAACCCAGCAAGAGTACGCAATGGAGGCTGAGTTGTACTTCATAAAGAGCTTGCTAAAGTAGTTGCATTCTAGATGACCAATCATGACTTAACTTGTTACATTTACCATCTTTCTCTTGGAAAGTGAGCTGTGTGATCTCTTTTGGCATCTGGTTACTTGTTTATGAATATATCTTCTGTTCTATCTCAGATCAGTTCAGTTCAGCCCTGGGTGATGTTAGTCAATTATTTTACTTTGATCATCTATCTATATATTACTTACCCTACTGGGTTAGCAGGAAGTTTAATCAAATAATTTCATTAACTGAGCCACAAATAAAGCTACTAACTTGTGTTTGAGGGAGGGAGGGAGGGAGAGAGAGAGAATCTGATGCACAGATGTAGATGAAATCTGAGCAATAATAATAAAAATAATACAAATGTTAAGACTATGTTCTTCACATTTAGTCTACTTTTTTAGCAGATCAACCTTACATGTGCATCATCCTGTTTTAAATACTAAAACGTGATTATGGGTTCTTGTGTTCTTCTCCAGGAATGCATTGTATCAAATGGTGAACAGGATAGATTATGTATTGCTAAGGAAATTAAGTGCACTTTCCTGCAGATTATGGGGGATTTTTAAAAATGGTTTTAAATGTTCTTTACTGTTTTTAATTTTTAATGATTTTTGTTGTTATGTTTTTGGTTTTGTTTTATTTTGTGTTTTTAACTTTGTACGCTGCTCAGAGTCATGTATGTGAGATGGGCAGTTATACAAATTTACCAAATAAATAAATAAAATAGAAGAAAGAAACTGCCCCTTTAATACTCACGTGATTGTTTTCATTTCCTTCTTTTCTGCATCTGGCCGGGCACGATTCAGCACTTTGAGGAAATCTGATGTTTTTGCCCTCATGCGCGTGTGAATGTAAGCCTGCATTAAAGAAGAAGAAGAAAAAACATATCTAAGGGCACTACATAGTACTTGAAATTCAAGCTCTCTCTAGTTAATCAACAATTATAACTGACCCAGAAGATCTGCATTAAATGGCTTGCTGAGTTTCTGCATTCAAGACAACTAGAATGATGGAAAGGGAAGCATCTGTTCTCAAGAGAAATCACTTACTGAGGGGAAAATAGCTTGTTTCTTTCTCAGGAGTATGAAAGGGGTAAGGGGATAGAATTAGATGGAAGCCATAATCTACTATTGTCTCTCAACAACAACAAACCAAACAGCACACTATGTCATTTTTTAATACAATGAGCCAATACTTGCTATCTTGGTTGGAAAAAAACTGTGAAATCCTAGGATAAGCAGCTTTCTTAAGGGAGTAAGTTGAGCCTAGTCTTCCAATGAATAAGATGTTCAGATGTAAGATTGTGATCACACTGTAGGTCACATTACTGCAGGGTTACAGAGAGTTTTAAATGTTTTGCAAACTTTTTATCAGCATTTCCTTTTCCCAAACTATGTTAGGCATCTGCATCCCTGGGAATCTAGATACCAATCATATACCTTGGAGCATTTGATGTGATAGTGCAGGTAATCCCGGAATGTGTGGATCAAATTTATGGTGTTATCCCTTGCGGCAGCATTGGTATGGCGGGGAAATAGCACTGCAAAGAGAAGACAACAAGAAATACTCATTCCTTAGCAATCATTTCAAAGCTACATTGGACAATTGCCAAACTGACCTATTTTATTCTAATGAGAAACTTTTCTATTTCAATGAAAAATACTTTCAGTTTGACAATAAACTGTATTGGAAACAGAGAAAAAAAATACATACCTTAGAGTACCAAATTCATGTAAAGTGCTGGATAACCAGTATTAACGTGTACTTTTAATGCCTAAATAATTTTTTATCTATTTCAGCAAAGCCAGAATCTCTAAGCTTACTTCTAACTGCTGGATACTGTTGCACTAATGTTATCTCAGAAGAATGTCTATATAAAGGAACTCATTTCAGCAGTACACTATATATGTACATGCAAAAGAACACCAAATAAGTACTGCAGAACTACTGGCAAAGGTTTTTAATATAAAAGATTGTTTTTAGCAAAGAGAGAAGTTTCCAGTAGTTGAGAAATAGAAGAAACAGAAGAAAATATAGAGAACAATACATTTACTTAAAGATGACTATAGAGAGATCTGTGCTTCACTAAAGCTTGATGCTCAGCACAGCCAAGCACCAAAGTTTAATATTAATGCTTCCTGAGGAAACTTTGTGCAAGTGGACTTGCAAGTAATCTTCTGACTGCATGGCAAGATTCCCCCTATCCACTGCAGCCGATCCATGGACACTCAAAATATATTTTCAAAATGTATGGAATCTACCAAGATAGCTTTTGAAACAACCTCCCATGCAGTTAATAGAATTGGCTTTTAACAAAAGAAATACGTTGTTACACTGCACCTTAATCCTGTATAAAAATATTAAGAAAATGTTCTTTTTAAAATGTTCAGTGAATGTGCAAGGTAAGGAGAGAGAGTGAGAAAGAGCATATTGGTATCACACACACCCCTCGCTACCTGCCTCTTTTTCAGTGCAAACTTCTGTGCAGAGAACCGTTCTCCACATGTACAGGCCCCCTCTGTATTTTACAACTGTAAAATTCTGACAAATCAGGGGTTTACATTGTCCAGAAAGCCTTAAAAGGACAGTGAATGGCTTTCCACAGCACAGATGTGGAAACACAAGATGGATAAGAAAGATGTGGAAAAAGAGAAGGGAAGTTAGCATGCTCAT